GCACGTCAGAGAAACGGTGGAGACGACGGGAGACAAAGGGAGACGAAGGGAGACAGAGGGAGGCGAGGAGCACGGCAACCCGGCAAGGCCACCCACATGAAGGGAGACGAAGGGAGACGAAGGGAGACAAAGGGAGACAAAGGGAGACAAAGGGAGACAAGGAGCCCAGGAACCTGGCAACAGTCCTCAGAATGTCGGCAATCCTTAGATGAGTTTAGAACCCCAGCAGTAGACTGTTTGGGAAAAAACTCGTCGGCTGAGGATTTAGCTTCGCATGCTCCCTAGAACACAGGGAGGTGGGGATCGGTGTGTAGCAGTCGTTCGTTCTCAGGAGTTTGGGATTTCGGACCTCAAGCTTCCGGTTTGAGAGGCAGGCGAGCTCTCCACAGGGTTGCTCTGCAACCAAGGCGTGCAGGGATTCAAAGGCACAAAGATGTGGCTCACTTCGGGGCGCATTTTTCGACAGTCCAAGGTGATGCGGGGAGTAAAGCCCTGGGTTTGTGGTAATTGGGGGGGGGGGAGACCACCCTGGAACTCCCCACCAAACCCAGCTACCCCGAGTTAGAGACGAGTTATAAGTCCAGTCATCGTCTGACCTAGAACCATACTTAGGACCATAGCACTTATGCCGACCCCTGAAGCCGTAAACCCTAAACCCTAAGCCCGAAACCCCAAAAACTAAACCCTAAACCCTAAACCCTAAACCCTAAACCCTAGACCCTAACTTCCCGACTGCCTGGATGCTGAACCCGCGGATGCCACCTTTCTGGCAACGGCACGGCCAATAGAGCAGGGGGGGTTGAGCAGGCTCTTTGAAGGGATTGAGGGAATGCGGTACCATATAATCCCTTAAAGGGTATACATATATATATATATATATATCCCTTAAAGGGTATATATATATATATATATATATATATAGGGGCCCTGATTCCCTCATTCCCTAGTAAGAACCAGGGAGGGGATTGGGTGTGTTAGGACTTATACTTGGGAGCGGCTGGGTTTCGAGGCATTGAGGCACTAGGCTGCAGAAGGGCTTCGGGGTCTGAGCTCTTCAGAGCCGGAGTGGAGGCTTTACAAGGAGGTTCAGAGCACGGTGGCGCGGAGTCGTGAGGTTCCCCTTAAAAAGGAGGCCGCGCTGAAGCCTTGTGCTTTGCTTGACCCCATCCTCTAAGCTTCGACTTCTCATCTCCTAGGCTTGGGGAAGCCCCTGTCGGGCCAGTGAAAATCCCAGAAATGCTTCAGAGCAACCATCCCCCAGTCTGAGCCCGGAGCTCCCTCCACGTGCTAGTAAGGCTCGGACCCTGAAAGCTAAGGTCCCTGAAGCCTTCAAAACCTTCAAATGGGTTTAGGGTTTAGGGTTTAGGGTTTAGGGTTTAGGGTTTAGGGTTTAGGGTTTAGGGTTTAGGGTTTAGGGTTTAGGGTTTAGGGTTTAGGGTTTAGGGTCCGCCGACCCTGGCGGCGTGTTGGATGTTTGAGGAGGTGAAAACCTCCCTCTTTCCCTCCTTACCCCCCCAAAACGCGGGGGGGGGTAGGGGGGGTCGGTGCACAATTTTTTCGTGGAGGACCGCGCCACCCGCACAGCGTAAACAGGCGGTTCAGCACAGGGGGGTAGGGGCGCCCTCAGCAAAATCAGCGTTTTCGGCACCCCCCCCCCCCCCCCCCCCCCCCCCCCCCCCCCCCCCCCCCCCCCCCCCCCCCCCCCCCCCCCCCCCCCCCCCCCCCCCCACCTGTCTTTTTGGCTTGAGCTTGTCCTGGTGCTACCCCCTACCCCCCCCAAACGTTTCACACTCTGCCGAGCAGGCTGGGATGATCTTCGAACCATGTGAGCGGGTTTGACCTCTCAACTATGCTCCAGCGGGGTCGGCGGCTTGAGCCGGAGGCTCTTAGATCCGGCCCCCGCGCCGCCCGTGGTTCAGGGCGGAGCCCGCGTCGCACCAAAGCGCTAGCTTTAGGGGCGAGCGCCCGAGCCGCCGACCCCGCCCAAAATTGCTTCAAATTCGCGCGGGGCCCTTCGGGAGGCCTCCGAAACGGCATCCAAGGGGACGCAACACGCGGTGGTGCGAAAAGCACGAAAACCTCGTAAAAACCATGGGTTTTTACGAAAAACCGAGGCCACAAAACACCCGCAGCACCCCATTAAACCCTCACGGGCGCGCATCATCGACCCTAGCTTTTCACATGGGGCGCGCGCCAGGCCGAAACCATGTTTTTCAAGGTTTGGGGGGGGTACCGGAAGCCCAAAACCAGGCGAGCATCATGAGCATCAGCAGCCCTGGCCCGCGGACCCAAGGCAAGAAAAAACGCTGAAAAACGCTGAAATCACCGTAAATACCGTGTTTTTATGAGGGTTTTCACGTGTGCCTCCGACCCCCACCCTTGTTGCCCTTGACCCGCCCCCAAAGTGCGCATCATCGAAACCCACGTCGGGGGGGGGGTCTGCTGATGCTGCTGATGCGCGGGGTCCGGGTGCATCATCGAGCCATCGTTTCTCATGTGG